AATTTTCTTTGACTGCTAACAAACCTTCTATGTCTAAGTCTTCAAATTTCGCACCATTTTTAGTCACAATAGCAAACTTAACTGGTTCGATGTTCCAAACTTTGTCAAATGTAGACTTTTCAAAATGGTAGAAGTAAACATTCAAATAAGCGAATGGGTCTAGTTCTTCTTTGACTTCTGTCATGTACTTGTTGACTGAAATATATTTCGTCATCTTTTCTATCGGATAAAAAAATATTTTTTTTAAATTTACTCAGAAAAATTTTTCTTTGTATATACGCCGTTCTGAACATCTAAAAGATTTTTGACATTTGCCAAGAATGTACGTTTAGAAGCTGCCATATAACCATACTCTTGACAATACTGTTTATATGAATCGTACAATGACCTTTCATCTAAACACTCAAAGTTAGTCTCATCTATAAACAGTTCATATACACTCTTGTTTGCTTCTAACAATGTTTGTCTTTCTTCGGTATGTGGAATTTGTCTTGGATTGAAGTTAGAAATATCTAATGTCATGAAATATGAGAACAAGTGGTTGTAAAAGTTAGGTGTCAAAGTTTCTGCTAAGTCGTCAAAATATTCTGTATCTTGCATATGAGAATCTGACGTTCTGACAACTACATATCTTCTGTCAGAACTTTCTAACTTCATCGGAACAACATTGTTTGAAACCATGATGAAATTTGCAACATTTTCACAAACTCTTTGGTCTTTATATTTTCTTTCAACAACTCCAACTTTGTCTGTTATAAGACTCTTCAAAGCATCTGAGTTTAAAACCTTTGTTGTATCTATACTTTGAAGTTCGTTACATACTATAAGTTTCATATTCTCTATTGAAGAGTTAAATTTACCGCAGATGTTTTCTAAGTTTGTCATATTCGGATTCGAATAGCCCTCTAACAGTTTGCACAAGATATCTGTAAAGAAAGTGTTCTTACCAGTTCCTTGTTTTCCAATTATAATGAGAGCAGTTTCATTTTTAGCACTTGGATGTTGTAAGATGTTTGCAAACCAACATAAGATATACTCATAGACTCTTTCGTTTCCATTGCATATAATTTCTTTGACATGGTCTAACCAAGCTTCTATAACATTTTCTTTCCATTCTACTTGTTCGTATTTATATCCAGTGAAGATAGAATAGAAGTTTGGAGATGGTGTATAGAACTTTATACCACGAACTGAAAAATCTTCAAGTTTTGACAATAAGATATCCCAAGCATCTAACATCTTCATTCCAACTTGTACGACTTTTATTTTCTTAAGTTTTTGTCTACATTCTTGTTCTGAAACTATTGTTGCTCTTGGTTTGTTAAAGACAACATCCCATTCTTTCATGACATAACATTTGGGCAGAGTCGACATAAATGACTAAACGTTTCAAATTCTCGACTGCTTTGTTATAGTCTCTAAATGGACACATATTTCTGAACGCTTGGAAGTCATAAAAATCTGAAACGTCTATTCTGTACATTTTTATAAAAATAAAAAAAATATTTTTTTTATTCTTGACTTTGTTGTTGCATTTGTTCCATTTGTTGCATTTGTTGTTCTTGAGCTATTTGTTGTTGAAGTTGTTCTTGTAGTACAATACTTTCACCAGTTGCATCTTCCAATTCGAAACTTTCTGCCGTCATTGACAAATACATAGGACATAAAAGTTTTACAGGAACAAAGTTTGCGTCAACTAAGGTTAAGTTTAATGTTTGCTAAAGTGTTTGAGTTTACTAAAGCTGAAAACTCTGCATTCGAATGAACAATAGGCAAACCAGCAGAGAAAGTGTTGTTTATACGCATGAGTATCTTTTGGTCATAGTAGTTTCTGTCGACATTCGAATAACACTTTGAACCTAAGTTTGAAACAATATATAAAATAGGTGTACTTAAAGTCAATGGAACAGACAAACCTTGTATGACACCTTTTCCTGTTATAGGAAACTGTTGGTAGTAAAAACCAGATATAAGTTTTGTTATTATAGCTCATATCGTTTATACTAAACTCAGTCGGACATCCAAACATAATGAAACCTGCTCTAGTTGCAGCACATGTTACATCCGTCCTTAAAGTATTAAATAAGTCAACAAAACCTGTTGGTGGTATATCTGAGTAAGTATCTTTCAAAGAAGTATTTTTTACCATTCACAACAACAAAGTCTTCTGGTGTCAAAAGAGCAAAACAGGCTTTAGTCGTCATCGTGTTTAAGGTCAGTTTACAATATCGTCCTTGAGGACTTTGTAAGTTTGTTGTTATAGAATTATATGACTCAGGGTTTTTAGTCGTAATAGTATAAACCACTATGTCTTCTGCCATTTTTACTTAGCAAGTAAATTTTAATGAAATGTTGTGGTCGTCAAATATTTTTATGACGTCTGGGAAACTATATTTTAAGTTCAACGTTTCACCTCCTTTCATAACGTATATCTTGTCAATGACATTATATGAAACACCACAGCAAGCAATGTCGGGTTCTATTTCTTTGATGTTTATATCGTCTGCCTCTGTCAAAAGTTTCAATAGTTCTTTCAAAAATTTCATGAGGTGCAATGACATATGAGTTCACTTTTACAGGGTTGTGCTCACCAAGTTTAACATTATACCCAAAGCCTGACAAATCTTCTCCTGAGTTTTAAGTTTGTCTTTAAGTTGTTGGTAGTCATTTCGAATATCTGCAACAGAACTTAAGTCTCTGCTAACTTCAGGATATGTTGGTTGTTCTTTTACAGGAACTATTGCTTATACCATCTTCGTCTTCGTATGGTTTCCCCACTTCAACATCTCTTTCTTTGACATTGACAACAACACTTTGACTGTTTGTTTGAGTTGGTGAATTTAACTTCACATCTGCCATCGCCATTAAACCTTTTGAAACACTTACGCTTCTATTTTTCGGAAATGACATTTTACTTAGAATAAAAAGATGGACGTATTTGAGTATCTCTTCGAATTGAAGCAGAACAAAGTTTACACACACAAACAGTACAAGTTCATTGACAGAGTAGTTCTTTACACAAACAATGGAAAATGTTATAGAATAGCAGTCTTTGCTGAACCAAAATATTTTCATAAAGCAAAGAAAGTTGGTATAACCGAGATGGTGAAAGTTCTTGACGTTGACAAAAATATAACAACAAAACTTACAGATATTTCTAAAGGAAAGTTTATAATACAATTTTATGTCAAAACTGGCGTACTGTCAATATTTGACGGAGAGAAGTCAGTTCAAGAACAACTTACTGACCTGCTGCCAAAATCTGCTCGATGGAAGCTGTCGTTATGCCAATCTGAGGAGCTCCAGCAGGTTTCATCGAACGAATCTTCAAAAGAGCATCTTCCGTGAAAAGTGCTATTGGTTTTGTAAACTTCTTTGCTTTCAATTCATCTGGACCGTCTCTGTCACCAGTATATTGTATTTGAACTGTACCAACAGTTGAAATACCACCCATAAAGTCTTCTGAGTCAGCAAATGGAATGCCAAGCCAAAAGTTTGAACGGTCTCTCATTTGTATATTGAGTTTTTTGACCTCCTGTGAGTCCATACTTTCACATATGGCATAATAGAACTTTGCATTTCAGGGTTAATGGTTGTTGTGAAGTTGTTGTTAAAGTTCATAGCATCTAATGTCAAGTTGTATGACCTCATATCCTCAACTGTAGAATATTCTTCTCTTGGATAGTATTTGCCATCTATGTTTATATGGTATTTAATACCAGGGTTGTAGAAGCAAGAATAGTCATTTATAGTTCGTCTGAAACAGTACAAACATAGTATCTGCATGTTTCATTGCAGTTGTTAAGGCAATATCTGTTCTTGCACCTGGGTCAGCACTTTGGTTTCCAACTTCACCTGCAAAGTCTTTGACAGATATTTGGTGTATAGGGAACATAAGCGGAACTGCAATATATTTGGCAGCTAAAGCATTTGAAATATCTGGGTCCAACATATAGACTGCAAGTCTGCTTTCTATTCTCTTGCATTCAAATTTTTCGCATGTGAACTTAACTGGGTCCCAAGCATCTCCAGCAGCATTGAAATAATAGTTTACTTCAGTGTTGAGGTTTGAGAAACCAAAGTCTAAGTCAACTTTGTCTTTGCAAAATTCGGCGAATGACGTTTGATTTGCTCCCTTTACGTCTGTAAGAGTGAATGGGTCTTGTGTTGGTGCAATGACTAAGTTATTTTTGCTTGGAGTAAGTTCGATAGAAATTTTTCCTGCCCAGTTTGGCAAGTATCTTAAAAACCTGAAGATGAGGAAAGATGACAAGGAACTCTAAGTTTCAATTTTACTTTGGTTACTGCTGCTGCAGTTTGTCCAGAAAGGTTAACATAAACTCCTGAACGTTAGGGTCAAGTCTTCTTATTTTCTCAATAGTTGCATACTGGTCTGTTTGTTCTCTAGCTTGTGGTTGTACTGAGTTTCTCAAAGCGAACCATTCATAGTTTGCCCATGTTACTGTTTGAACTAAGTCAGAGTTAGAATATATCTTATATCCATGAAAACTTCTGGAGCATATTGGTATCCGACATAGAAAATTCCATTGCAACCTTTCTTGTCAGACAACTTGGCAGAAGGTTTTATTTCAATGTCTTGTTCCACGTATAAGAAAGAGTTGTCAATAGAAATAATATGAAACCTGTCGCAAGCAATATCTACTGTTGTTGAAGAACCTTCTCCAAACTCACCTACGTTTCCATAAGAAACAGCAGTTGTATATTCGTAAGTTCCAGGAACTATTTCTGACCTTCTAATGGCATTGTCGCATTCGTTATACCATTCGGAAACATTTCCATTCATAGCATCCAAAACTGTTGGCGTTATATTCTGAGCGGCGTACATTTCATATGAGTAAAAATATAGAATAGTTGGATTTATATGTCATAATAGAACCCACGTGGACCAAGCTTTACTTTCTTCCTGACTGAGTTTTTAACTCTTCTTTTTCCTTCATTGCCCTCTGCTTGAAGTTGTTGCATCTTTGCATTATGTTCATCTAGTATGTTGCAAATTTCCCATGTCCTTTTTGCTTTTGGCTCTGGTCGCCCATCTCAGGTAACCTATATCCTAGAAAGAGTTTGTCATAGTCTGTATTTGAGTCTTCGCGTATTGTTTGCATGACTCTTTCCTGAGTTTCCGGTTCAAGCTCTTCAAACAGTGCCTGTCCATATGGAATATGCTCGTTTCCAAATATATGTTTTTGTAGCCATTCTGGTTTTCTTTCCATGTTACCAACTATATCTTTTGTGAATGGGAAAGCTTTTACCCAATCTTTCAGTCTTGCGTCGTTTATTTCTGTAGTTGGTTTTATTTTGTCAAGGAACATGTTTTTCAATACTAACATTTCATTTGGTACTGTCCATTTGAGTTTTCTTAAATATTCATCCCTTCTCGGTTCATTGTCTGCAAAGTAAGTTTTTATGACATTTTGTAAACTTTCGTTTGCAAGGTCATGTACAATAGGTTCTCTTCCTTCTATCTCTCCCTAACTTTCTTTCTAAACTCTTCACCAAATATACCATCTCTATGGTTCTGTGTAGTTCTTTGAGATAAATGTTCTAGAACGTCAGGTGTTATATTTCCATCAGCCATGTTCATTTCATACTGGTCCAAAATATCTGCATCTTTCATATCTTTCAATGGCATTAAAGCCGCGCTGAAAATACCAGCTATATCTGGTTCACCATTCACTTCCATTGCGTCTACAACTTCTTGGAATTGTGGTTGTAAGTTTATGAACCACCTATCCGGGTTAGCTTTATGACCCCATCTCATTGTAGTTCCATCGTCTGCAGAAACAAAGTAGGTTTTGTTTCCATCTTGGTTAGGTTCTGAATGAACTTTAAACAATGTTTCATTTCTATATGTTTTCTTGAAATTTAACCTTTTATTTTCACCGAGTTCATCCGAAGATTGAACGTTAAATGCTCGTAAGTAAAAAGGGTTGTTGTATTTGTGTACATTTTCTTTCAGTACTTCCATTCTATGCTGAATATTTTCATCTGGTGCTGGAGTCTTTTGTATGTCGGCAAACATTTTTCGATATTCTTCTACTATGTCAGCCGAATTTTTTTTGACTCTTGGAAATATTCCATATTCTCCGCATACTCTTGTTGAGGGTCAAGATTTTTCGGCTGTTCCAAATCTTCATCTAGTTCTGTGAAGTTAGTTTCCAAAGGAGTGACTTGTTCGTTTCCTTCAGGCTCTTCTAGCTGTTGTTGCTGAACTATTTCTTCCATGTCTGGTTGTATCTGAACTTCTTCCTGTGGAGTTTCTTGTACCTCATCTGCTGGCATTTCATATATTCCGAGACCGTTTTCAACAATTTCCCTATCTACGTCATCCGCATTCATAAGCTTTTGTTCTTTCGTTCCGTCTCTATTTTTTACGCGTTTCATGACGAAAGTTGAATTGTCATTTAGCTCTGACATCAAATATCTCGGAGTAAATTCATCATGTCATTTGATGATATGCTATTAAAATCATATCCCTTAGCGAGCTTGTATTTTCCAGGTTTGAGATTATATCCGTTTTGGTGCTGAGCCATAAAGCTAAATAGGTTCGGGTCAGTATTTCCATCCTTGAACTTTCCAATAGCTTCTTTATATCTGTCACTAAAGTCAACAGTATCTGGGAAACCACACTCTTCTTTAAGCATTTTTAAGAATTCTTGGTTTCCTTGTTCTCTACTTCTTTTATGTCCTTGCTCTGTTTTGGTTGTTGTTGTGCAGGGTTTTGAACTGTTGGTTGCTGTGCTGGTTGTTGTGGTTGTTGTGGTGCAGTGTTTTGAACTGTTGGTTGTGGTGCAGTTTTTGAATGTTGGTTGTTGTGCTGGTTGTTGTTGTTGTTGTGTTGGTTGTTGGTGCATGCCTGTGTCTGTGTCCATGTGACGATGTAAATGTTTTAGGTAGTCTGGTGCAGGTGCTTCTCTTGGAGGGTTTG